TGACCTAAAATAAATAATTTTTCAGCAAATATTCAGACTAACAATAATGATTTATTGCTCTTGGCAATTGACATGGGACACTTGTAGTTTAGACTGATGTTTATACTGCTATTATTAAGTTATCTGATGGGTGTTTGTATTTTATATAACATAGTTGATGAATAAACCTCAATGTGAAATAATACAGATATTTCTATATCTCTTCCTTCCCATGCTTTCAAATGGCTATTTCTATCCTTTATCCTGTAGCTTCATTCCTCCCTGAAGAGAATTTCATTTAACAATAGTGCTGGAGATCAGATGTCTTTGGATGATAAAGGTGAATTGCAAAGTGGATTTGATATTATAAATTGGGTGACTTTCCCAAACAAATCTTTCTCAAGGGTGAAAGTAGGAAGGATAGATCCATGGGCCCCACAAGACAAAAAAATCTCCATTAATGATGAGATCATCACATGGTACCACACATTCAACCAGGTAGGTTATGGATATTGATCTGAGAGAGAAAGCTGAGTGATGACTATTCCAGTTTCAATTTCATAGTGAAAGCTCTTTTACCATATACAGAACATATTGGTTCAAGTGCATAAAACCCTCTATAACTGACTATACATAAAAATATTTTGTAAGCTTTCAATCCTCTTTTAAATTATCATTTTATTTTCCATTTCTACTTTCTATCCTCCCTGTGTAATATTAAACCAAGATTTGCTTGCATTCCAGTTTGTTTTCTGTGTCTTATTTGCAAACATTTAGAACCATAGCCTAAATTATCCCCACAATCTTCATGCTTTTATCACCAAAGACACAATTGCTTTATTTTCCTAACACTAAAAGTGGAAGGATCACAGAACCAATAAGATTTGACTTTGTCCGCCTTGGAACCTTTATGTCAAAATGAGAAGCTTTTTGTCATTGCAATTTGAGAAGGCATGGGTACACTTAGGGATTGTTGTCATTGCTATTCGTCTTCAAGTCAATTCTGAGTTATGACAATATACTATAGGGTTCACTTGGCAAATTTTATTCAGAAGTTTGCTATTACCTTCTTTTTAGGTTGAGAAGATACCATTTGCCTAAGGTTACTAGCTGACTTTTCATGGCCAAATAGGGATTAGAACCCTAGCCTTTTGGAGTAAACTCCTACATCTGATTCCTTTCTCTTATATCTAATGCTTTCTGAAGTAACTGCATTTACCAAGCATTTATAAATCCTTGTTTATATGGGCAGATGGCACCCTCTTCAGTATGTAATGATAACTGCCATCCAGGTTCAGTTAAGAAGAAAAAGGAAGAACAGCCATTCTGTTGCTATGATTGCAATCGATGTCCAGAAGGGAAGATTTCTGATAAAAACGGTAAGGAACAAAGCACAACATCATAAAATTAAAGCCACCAATAGTGCACTCCTATGGATGCCTACTCATAAAAATAACCTCTGATGTGTTAGGTTCTTTACTCTCAGTAAAGAAATTATATGATAATATCCTAGGTACATATACAATAGTTTAGTTCAGGTTACACAATCTCTTGTAAAGTAATCTAAATTAAGGAAAAGGGTTATTTAGATGAAACCAGCAAAATCAACAACATGCTTTGAAACACATAATATTTACACATTCATTTTTCCTTACAGAATATTGGTTAATAAATGCAAATTTAGTAAAAGCCAATCTATTTCAGGTAATCTACTTTTAAAAAAAACTAATGTTGGAGACTAGACTGAGTTAACATAACAGTCATAAACACAGAGTTTGTGATATGTTATAGATAGGAGATGTTTGTTTCATTTTTTTTCCCATTGTGTGTGCCTTCTGATAAAATATTTTAAGCTTTTCCCTTACATGGTTTCATATTTCCTAGAACATACCTGTTCTTGAGCCCATTTTAGCACATGGATACTGGATGAGCTAAAGCAAATGAGCTTTCCACTCAATGCCAAATGGATTTCTGAAAACTGCGAGGTTTTATCCCATAATTCTTGCTTCTGTAGAAAAGTAAAATTTTGCATAAAAACCCATTGTTGCCAAAAACAAACCAATTTTGCGTTGTTTTTTACATAAATACATAATTTCCACACAAAATATTATTTCTAAAAACATACTTTTAATACAAAATTGTAGAAAATCCCACAAATTTGCAAAAAAAACCCACATGCATTTTTGAAAATGTATTTTAGCAGAAATTTGTTTTGCACAAAAAAGCATATTTTTGAACAGAATACACTCTTGCTTGAGATTAAACATAAAGTCATTCTTTTGTTTCTTCTTTCCTTTCTTCTTTCCCTGTAGACATGGACATATGTATCCAGTGTCCAGAAGATCAATATCCAAGTAGCAATCAAGACCAATGCATTCCCAAAGTTTTTAACTTTTTGCTTTATGCAGAAAATTTGAGCATCGTTATCATTTTTATGACTTTTTCATTTTCCACAATCACGGCTTTGGTATTAGGAATATTCATTAAATACCGAAACACTCCTATCGTTAAAGCCAACAACCAAGATCTCACCTACACTCTTCTCGTCTCTCTCTTCCTCTGCTTTCTCTGCCCATTGCTTTTCATTGGTCAGCCCCAGAAAATAAAATGCCTCCTAAGGCAAACCACATTTGGCATCATCTTCTCAGTTGCTATTTCTTCTGTGTTGGCAAAAACCATTACAGTGGTGTTAGCATTCATGGCTACACAACCAGGATCCAAGAAAAGGAAATGGATGGGGAAATGCATGGCGGTTTATATTGTACTCTCCTGTTCCCTCATTCAAACAGTGATTTGTAGTGTGTGGATCAGTATCGCCCCTCCATTTCCGGATTTTGATAAGTACTCCTTACCTAAAGAAATAGTGATACAATGCAATGAAGGATCTGCATTTATGTTTTATTGTGTTCTAGGTTACTTGGGACTCCTGGCTATTGTCAGTTTTGTGGTAGCTTTTTTTGCTAGGAAGTTGCCTGATGCTTTTAATGAAGCCAAATTCATCACTTTCAGTATGTTGGTATTTTGCAGTGTGTGGCTGTCCTTTGTGCCAACCTATCTGAGCACCAAGGGGAAATACATGGTGGCTGTGGAGATCTTCTCTATATTATTCTCTAGTGTTGGTTTACTAGGCTGTATCTTTTTCCCCAAATGTTTTATAATTGCTCTGAAGCCTGAGTTAAACAGCAAAGGATATTTAGCAAGGAGAAATAGAGCTCAGTTTTTTGAGTGACATTATTTATAGTCCCATTCCTGGAATTTTGCAGAAGCAAGGGTTTCCTGACATGAGAACAAGGGATAGCTCAGCATTTATAGACATATAGATAGATAATGGATTGGCTTATGCCATTGTTGCATTGCCTCCAATATCAGAAAGGAGAAAAGGGCAAGAATCACTGCAGGTATTGATGTCTGCATCAGTCCTTCATGCAGTACAGCTGTGTTAATCTTTTGAAAACATTTGGTATTTTAAACCATTTCTATATTAAACCATTTCTATATTTCCAGCCATTTTAATGGGCACTACAAACACCAATTTTGCTTGTCAAAGCAGAAGGATTGGCTTTTTTAGTGAACAAATAATTGCTGCTTCTAAAATACAGTTACTGCTGTTGTGTGGGATGACATCTTCCCTATTATGAGCATGGAGAAATCAGTTAAATAAATAGATAAACTGTCTCTTAAGTAAATAGTAAAACGTCACTTGCACCTAGTGTCCATCCTGAGCATGAATGGAAACAGAATACTTCCCATTATTGTTTCCAAATAAGAAAGAGGAGAACTCTCTCCTACCATGAAAGATGTACAAATACAGTATTTGAAAAGTCTGTAATTGTAATTTGTAGTTGTGATGTAAATTTCAGAGAAAATCTCAGAAGTCATATTTTCTTCTGATCTCCTGGTCCACTTATTGTTTTGAACAGAATCTTAAGCATACAACCCCCCTGCTGCATCAGCTCCATTGACAGCCAGTCTGCTACCGAGCACAATTCAGAGTGCTAGCTTTAGCCTATAAATCCCTAAATGGTTCCAGTCTAGCTTACCTGACCAAACCTATCTACTTTCATAAACCAGTTCAATTGTTAAGATCAGCCGGGGAGCTCCTGCTCTCAATCCAGCCACCATCACAGGTGTGACTGGTGGGGACAAGAGACCAAGCCTTCTCAGTGGTGGCCCCTCAGCTGTGGAGTTCCCACCCCAGCAAGATTAGATCAGCCCCCTCCTTCCTGGTGTTCAGAAAACAACTCAAAACCTGGCTATGCAAGCAAGCATTCGACAAGTGATAGCACTACTGAAGCAGCTAAATGCCAACCACAGAACTAGTGCAATATGTCTAATATGTTTTATATCCATGTTTGAAGTTTTTTGTATAGTTTTAATGGTTTTAATTCATAGTTTTATGCCACTGATTTAGATATGTTATGTATTGCTTTTATACTTATATGTTTGACATTGAATTTTTGCCAGTTATTATGTTGTACACCACTTTGAGTCCCCCCAGGGGTGAGAAACGCAGTATAGAAATGCGATAAATAAACAAATAAATAAATACTTGCATTTCTAATAATCAATGCAACTTGCCTTTCTTGTAACCAATTATTCACTCCAAAAGCCACACAGAAATGGGAGAAGTGCAATAATACACCAAGAAAAAAATTATTTATTTGCAAAACAAATGCAGGTTAAGATGGGTAAGCATTTTTTGGCCTGAAATGAGATGCCAAAGAGGGGAAAAATAGAAGAAAAACATTGTGTGAAAAGCCTAATTGTGCAACAGAATTCTGAAAGGCGGCATTTAGAAGACTGTAAATCAAGATCTCATGAAAAAGGAGAACAAACAAAGGGAATTTTCCCTCCATCTTTGCCTAATTTGGGGGAAATGAATTCTAACCTCAACATAATTATTTCTCAACTGAGTATGCAAGAATGATAGGCAAGTGTTTTAAAACACCATATATCAAAATTTTCCTTACAATTTGTGGGATCTAAGATGGATAGAGATAAAGTCCTTCTGTGATCACTGGATAAACCAAGTTCCTTCTTATCCTTCTCAATTTCAAATGTAGTACTCAGTAATTTGTGAGATTAATAGCATAGCATACAGCTCTATCTTCAGAAAACAAATACAGAATGGAATAGCTGAAAGTCAGAGCAACAAGGAGCATTACGACATCTTAAAGATGTCATAAAGTTTTGAACATGTAAGGTTTTGTGAACCTGTATCATAATAAAAATCTTAGTTTCTAAGATACAACAAGTCCCACTTTTTGATGGTTGCTATAATAAACAATGTAGCTGTGCCGTGTACTTATTAGAAATCAGAAGCCTTCCACATAATGATGGGAATAATTATGAAAAAGTACATGTTGCTCGGTGACAAAAATAAAATGTTACATCTCACTCTTCTGCTCTTCAATGGGTGGTAGAAGAGAGGCTGAAAATTTCATCTCTGTTTCTGATTGACCTTTCTTTCATTGAGAGTATGCATTTGTTTTGGAAGACAACTTTGTCAAAAGAAGCATTAATCAGAAAAGCTACCAAGAACACATAACTCTTGTACTACAGAATCAGTACTGACAGTCTTCAAAGCACTAAAAAGTTTGAGACAAGATTATTTTAAGACTATCTGGCAAGACACTTGATTGGCCACAGAGATTCAATTTACATACCAACCAATAAGTTCAATTAGTTGAGCTGGAAAAAGAAATATTCTTTGTTTGTTAGTTAGTTTACTTGTTTATTTGTTTGTTTATTTGCTTTTTTGTTTTGTGATGGCCCCATTTTAAGAAATGTTCTACTATGAGATGCAAATATTTTTTTCAAAGGCAACAGAAGTTAAGAAACTGAAAATTCCATAATATTCTTAAATGAATAGAAGCCCATTTTCATTTTGTAAATGTGCATTTCTAGAATTTGGGTTTGGCTTATGTTCATTTTAGTTTCAATGTTGTTATTTGTTTGTTTGTTTACTTTGCGGCTGCCTTTAGGATGCCTTTTTTCAGAAGCCAGTAATAAAATCATTTAAATAAATCCGTAGTTAGATCCTATGAAGGAATGGCCAACAGTTTCATACCCATGATGGGTTCTTTGAAGGCAATTTCCCCATGCTAATTCTGCTGTAGGCTACCCTATTCTCTCATTATCTAACAAAATGAAGTTCAGGAATGTACCAAAACGATGGATACTTCATAACATCATTCTGTTTCCCATTGGGATTTATAGCAGACATAATATTGAGAGCACTGGTGTGCTTGCTAATACAGAAATACTGGTCCTGTTGCCCAAGACAGATAGATGCTGCATTCTTGTGGTTATATTGAAAAATTACTCATCTGGAAGCTATAGAGAAAATCCAAGCTGGGAACTGAGTTAATCTAAAGGTATTGAAAAAAAATCAGAGTTTACAAAAAATAAGTAATCCCCACTGTGAAAAAAAATAATCATATGAGTCAAGACGCCATGTAGCATGCAATCCCCTTGAGCATGTTTCACTGGAATATTTATCTAGCCTGAAATACTAGTGGTGTGGGGTTAAAGAAGGCAGAAAGACAAGATGTACTGAAGTTGGTATGAAGAATTTTACATCATTCAAGATCTTCTCCAGGATGGAAACAATTGATCATGGCTTGCAATGAACAAAAAGTGCAAGACTTCTGAAAAGGTAAAATATAATGAATGGATTATTACACAGTTAATATTGTTTCATAATTCTTTTGAAGCTTGTGTAATTAGGGCTGCCAATTTACTATAGAAAGAGACAGAAGCAAATTCAAGGCCATTGATCTCAATAAATAGTAATGTGTCAACATGGCTATTTTTCACCTGCAAAATCAGAGGCATTATGCCTGCATATATCAGCAGATCAGTTGATATAATTCAGAAATATATCATGGATGGAATCCTGTTGAGTCTGTTCTGCCTGCTGCACACTTGTGATTGTTTTAATTTCATAATCCCTACAAAGCCCTTAGTTTAGGGGATTTATAGGAAACATTAAAGTCTTTCAATAAGCCTTATAAGATATCAGCCATTGCAATCAATTGGGGGGCTGTTCTCCTGTTGATCAGGAAGTGGCCAGCTGATGGTCTCACCCAACTACTAATTTCCCCAACATAAAGGGAAATTGCAACAGGGGTCCTGCTTTTTCTTGTCACACCAAAATATTGCTCATAGGATGAGGTAGAACATCAGTTAGCTGCTACCCAATTGAGAGGATTGTGGCAGAATTAACTGTGTAGCACTGTAACTATGGTGCACTGCTTATGCATTTGTAACTACCCAAAAGATTCCAGCCAATATTATTTAACATTTTTCATTCATTCTCAAAAAGACTCTATGATTCTCATTCCAAATGAGGTTGAGAGGTTGAGAAAGGAAGGATTCCCCACACCTTGTACTAACACATAATAGTTGTGGACTATCTAAGGTTATAGTCCAACACACCTAGGAAAGAAGCACATTGAGGAAGCCTTTTTTAAGTCAAAGTACATATTGCTCTAGGAGATGTTTACAATACTACTAGAATGTGAAATAATGGCTCTGAGCCACTATGTACCACTGTATAGAACCAAATGAACAGAGATGGGATAATATGTTTTTAAAAATGAAAAATTGATCCTTTGAATAATAGGAAACTCAAACAAGGAGAATATTTGACTGTTTATATTCTATGTGGTGGATGGCTTATTCTGCACAAACTCTACAAGATGGCTAAATGTATGTTAACAATATCCTCTTACAGATGGAGTCACAACATGAGATGGTGAATGAAACGACTGTCACTGAATTTATACTCCTGGGACTCTCCAGCTGTCCAGCAGTGCAATTCTCTCTCTTTGGTCTCTTTCTCATCATTTATTTAGTAACCTTGATTGGGAACATTTTTATCCTACTCGTGATCAGCATGGACAAAAGACTTCACAATCCCATGTATTTTTTCCTTTTCAATCTCTCCGTGGTGGATATTGGATACACAACTTCTACTGTCCCCAAGATGCTCCTGAATTATCTTTCCCAAGACAAGACAATTTCCCTAGCAGGCTGCTTCACCCAAATGTATTTCTTCATCTCCTTTGGTGGGGTTGAATGCCTCCTATTAGGTTTCATGGCATATGACCGGTATGCAGCTATTTGTCACCCACTGCACTATAATGTGCTGATGTGCCCAAAAGTGTGTGTTTGTCTTGCAGCAACAGCTTGGATTCTTGGCTTGTCTAACTCAGGAGTACATGC